GAAAGGGACAGTTCCTCACTGTGCTGCAGGGGGGCTGTGAGTCAGAATTGGCTTGATGGCCGTGACGTTTAGAATTTTGTGAGTTGGAATCTACTCGAAGCAGTGGGTTTAATTTGTTGTTGCTCTTGGGTGGGTTGGGCATAGGCAAGGCGGAACCTACTGAGTGTCAGAAACCCGAGAGCCCTTTGTCATAAACACACAATGTGATGCTGTGCTCTGCAGAGGGAGGCTCCTTTCAGGGCGTGGGTGGCCACGGATGCAGCTCTGCTACCAGGTTCTTCAGGCTGGATGAGAACAGCTGGCGCATGCTGGCTAGAGAGGTGGTCGGCAGAGCAGGAGACCCTGACAGTTGTAGGGCACCGAGCCATGTGCTGCAGGGTGAGGAATGAGTTCCGAGTGTGTGGGTACGTGCAGCCCGAGGAGGGCAGGCGGATGCTAGCTGAGCTAAAAGGCCAAAGGAAGCCAGCCATTGAAGGGAAAGGAAGGCTGTTCCCAGGAGAGGGCGTCTCATCATGGCTAAAGTCCCGGAGTAGATGGTGAGGACCCCTGGGAAATGTTCCAGAGGGTGGAGAGGTCATGGCCCTGGGGGGGATGGCAGTCAGGGCTGGAGAGGTCACTGGGCACAGGCTCTGAGGTTGCCGGGGCTTAGAATACCTGGAGAGGCGGCAGCAGCTCCCTGGTGAAAGCCACTGACGAGCCCAGCCACCCGAGGGGTTAATGTCTCTTCTGCTGTTCTCTCTGCGTGGGCACATCACACCACCTCTCTTTAGACGGATTTTCTCACCTGCTATGAATTGAATTGAGCACTGCCCCCCACCAAGAAAGAAAAAAAAGATCCGGTACCTGTGGATGTGACCTTCTTTACAAGGAGGAACCTTGGCCACATGATCAGTTAAAAGGAGGTCACTCATGTGGACACGGTAACGGGTCCGGCTGCTAACCAGAAGGCTGCAGGTGCCTGGAGAGAAAGGCTTGGAAGCAGAGGAAAACCCTCGGGACCACCCTTCTACTCTGACATCCTTGGGGTCTCCCAGGGTTGGCGTCGACTCAGCAGGAGGACGTGGTGTGGCGCTGCGTGTGTGCATCAACTCCCAGCCATCCCGAGACACGCAGCAGCACGCACGTCCTGTGCCCTCCCCGGAGTGGGTGCTGACCCAGCCCACGGTAACCCAGGCACTTCCCACTGGCTGATGGTCACAAGTACCTGGTTACCTGCTTATCACCAGGTGTTTCTTTTGAAAAGCCAGTCTTTGTCTGGAAGCTCTGCAGAAACCTGTTCAGAATCATAGCAGCCGCAGCAAGCCTCTGCTGATAGGCAGCTGGTGACGGTGCATGAGATGCCGTGGCTGAGAGTCAAACCCGGGAACCAGATACAACCCTGAGCTCTCGTTTTTGCTCATCTTCCTTTTTTCTTTTTTGGCGGGGGCATTTCACCTAGAGACATTTTATTAAGAATCTCCCAGAAGAGAGAAATCACTCACCAGCCTGCCTGACCGGTCCTCTGATGCGCCTGTCTGCCCACCCATGTGAAAGCAGGCTTTTAAATATTAAAGCAGAAAAGGAGATACTGCTTGGGGTAGCAAAGATTTCTGGGGATTGTTGTTAGTGGCCGAAGTCCACTCTGAACCATAGTGCCCCTGTGCCCACCAGAAGCAAACGCTGCAAGGTCCTGCGCCCCCTCCCCGCTCTCCCTGGGCCTGAGCCGACTGAGGCAGCCACTGTGTCAGTTTGGTGTGTCAGTTTGGCTCTTTGAGGGACTTCCTCTTTTTCCCAGCCCCTCCACTTTGCCAAACATGATGTCCTTCTAAGGGGACTAGTCTCTCCTCACTATATGTCCAAAGTATGTGAGACGAAGGTTGCCATCTTGGCCTCTAAGGAGCACTCTGGCCGCACTTCTTCCAAGACAGAACAGTTTGTCCTTTTAGCGAGAGGCCCGTGGTCCTTTCGATATTCTCCTCCAGCACCACCGTTCAAATGCATTGGTTCTTCGACAGTCTTTCTTGCTCCTTCAGTTCCTTGGATCTGTACGCCTAAGCTACTGCGCAGATTCTGCACATGCTCAGTCCAAATCTGGGTTCCACTTGTTCATCGGCCTCCACCCGCCTGCCCTCTCATGCCCACAGAGCCGCTTCCTGTCTTTGTTACTCTCTGAGTCCCTTTGTCTCGGCTCCCAAGGCTCTGTCCTGCCCGCTCCTTCCTCCTTTCATCTCTTCCTGCTCTCACCCCACAAAACTGTGGGCTCACGGTTGACCGGCTTGCTCAGAACTTGTCGGTTAGCCCAAGACTGCCCAGACACCAACACTGACTGAGCTTATGGTAGTTAGATTATTGTCAATTTGAGAGGATTACGAGTGAAGGGGTGGAGTCTAGCCTGTCAATCAGATCCTAGCCAATGAGGCTTCTGTGTGGGCCTGGCCTTCGCCTGAGAATTCTGAGAAATCTGGGATTTCCTTGAAGGTGGGAGACTCTCTGCTCACACCCTGGCAGACATAGGAGCTGACAAGACACATGGACCCACCCTGATGCAGAGACCCCGGCCAGCGCTGAGATCTTTCCAGTGACACTGGATCCAAAGACTTTCTACCCACTGGCCTGTGATCTTCTACATTTGGCGTCATTGCATTGTGTCATGAGTCTGAAGAGGACTTTGTAGATTGGTTTTAGACATATGGGCTAACATCAGACTTACGGACTTGATCTGGACTGGGCTGGGATGTTTTCTCAATGTTCAATTGCTCAATGTTCAATTGCCTCCCTGTCTGTATCCCTGTGGTCTTAAGTTTATAGATCTCTTTCTTATACACATATGTGTGCCCATGGATTTGTTTCTCTCGTCTACCCAGACTAGCAAAGACCTCTTTGCCCAAACATCCCCGGCCACCAGGCAGGGATCTTTTTGTGCACAACCTGAGTTCTCAAAGAGGAGCCGATGGGTTCAGCAGTTCAGAGCCCAGCCCCCAGCCCAAGGCTGCTGCTTGCTCACGTCAGACACACCTGCCTGCTGGCTGGGCATTTCAACTGGGGGTCAGTCATGGCGGGGGAGGCGGGTGTGTCGTAGAGCCCTCTTCCCACCTATCATGGTCGACAGATGGGCTTAGAGTTCCTGAGAGGGAGGAGTGAAGAGACAGGACTTACCAGTGATACCAAGTACAAAGACTACATCCCAGACCAAAGAAACCCCACGCCTGCTGCCACCCAGTCATCTCTGCCTCATGGAGACCCAGGTGTAACAGACGAGAACGGTGCTCCGTGGCTCCTCTCGACTGTCAGGGTTATGGGAGCAGGTGGCCAGGTCTTTCTTCCTCGCTGCCTTTGGGGAGGTTCATACTGCCATCCTTCAGGTTAGTCGTCAAGCACACCCCTGGCGCCCCTCCAGGCTCTGCAAATGAACTTCGAAGCGGTTGGAGGAGGTGGCTGCAGCGGGTGACTCAATTCTGTCGGTGGGATTCCACGTGACAAGACAAGAGTAGAGCAGCCCCACAGGGTTTTGAGATCCTTTCTGGGTTTGTCGAAGGCAGACTGCCCATGCGTGATTCTAAATTTGGCTCACGCTACAAATGAAAGTCATGGTTTTTTGACTGTGTCTGGTCACCTCTGCACTAATGCAAGGGTATGCGTCTCTGAAGAAAAGAATTTCACATCTTCCAGCCACACGAAACGTGGCATGACATTAAACGTCCGTCCAGGTGTTCCTGTAGTCATGCTTCAGGGAGTGGAGATGGTTCTGGACACAATCACCCTGGCGAGAGCGTGGATGGTGTGCTGCCTCCAGTCATGCAGACTTTGTATGCCTGGTTTTGGAATAACCTTGTTCCGGCCCCCGAAGTTGGGCGCCACATATAGCTTTCCCCGCCAGGGCAGTGCCTTAGAAGGGGCAGGTTGTGGCGTGGACTCCTGACACTGAGAAACCAGCTCACAGCAGCAGGGCCCTTCCACAGCCCATGGAAGCACTGCTCTTCTTCCTCCTTCCCCCTCCTCCTCCCTCCCCCCCTCCGCCTTCTCCCCTCCCTCTCCCTGCCCCTTCCTCTCCTCTTCCTGAGCTCCCCTCCCCACTCCACTCACTGCCTCCCTGTCTGTATCCCCTAAGTCTCAAAACCTGCTGTTATTAGATTGGCTCAGAGTGTCTGAAAACGTTTCAAATGGGAAAACCATGTCCCACTTTTAAACAACTGGAAAACATTACAGAACTTGCCTCTTTCAAATGTAGACACACACACACATTCCAGCTCACAAAGTTGAGTTGCAAGGAAATGCGAAGTGCTTCCGGAAGAAAGGAGCCGGACACGGCGTACACCCCACACAAGTGGCTTTGAGACAGGCAATGCGCCTCGAAAGCCAGGCTCTGCAGATTCGGGGGCAGGGGTGGATTTGGTTGCTAATGAAATTAAAGCAACCAAATGATTGCTTTCCGTGCTAATCAAATTGTTCCTCTGGATCGCTTCTCACTCTCCTTTACCTCTTGGTAGTGCCATTGCCTGTCCACATGCCAAGTTACTAGCCACTGTGCGCGTGCATGTGCGAAGCGCCCATCTCTCCGTGATCTGAATCCAGGGCGGTCCGGCTCTCACAACAGGAGTTAATCATCACCAGCAATATTGGCAGGAGCTGGGGATGTGTTCATTCCTCGGGGGCAGCTTAGCGTCTCCTGGAAAACATTCTAGTTCAACAGACTTCGTCTCAGGCTTTCCTTTCCCAGGCTTCCTCCCCCACAAGGAAGATGGGCCCAAAGCAATGTGTTGGGGCCTCATAATTAATAAAGCAAGGGTGGCACTTCCAAACCACTGGTATTGGGGAATACAGGACCGTGTAATGCATTTCTTCCTGCAGACTGGTGGACCAGCAGTATGCTTCTTTCCGCCTTCACCATCCGGCCTGATGATTGTGTAAAAGCATTTTAGGAGCTGGGTAGCTGTCTTCATGGCTTGGTCCTTAGGAGAAGGCAGGGTGTCACATAAATGAAAGGAAATGAGAAGTGCCATCTCCTCCTCTCCCCTCTTTAGAACAAGAAGCTCTACTTGGACATCATTCACATGTACATGGAAGTGCACGCAACCGTCCACGGCTCCAGCACCAAGAATATTCCCAGTTACGTGAAGAACCACGGTATCCTCAGTGGCCGGGACCTGCAGTTTCTCCTGCGAGAAACCAAGGTAAGTTTGTGGTCGTTTTGTCAGAACCACCGGTGGACTCGCTTACAGGTCTGTTGCCACGTGCTGTCGAGGTGGGAGTCTGAATCGTTCTTGCTTCCTGTTCGGTGCTGCACTCTCTTGTTGGGCCGTTTCTGGCCAGTCGTTTTTCCGACAAGCTGTAGCTCAGAAGGTTGTGAATTGTGGACAAAGGCGCTCATAGTCTTGCTTGTTTCTGGGATCAAAAGAATGCTTGCTGTGGAATTCCCTGTACCAGGGATCATGCAAGGGGCTGGGGAGGCCCCAACGGGATGGACAAGGTCATGTCCTGGGTGGACTGACCTTCTTCTCGAGCAGCAGTTTACGCAGGAAGCTGAGGGTGCATCCCGACCCTGTGCCAGCATTTCCTCACATCTCCTCACTCAACAAGGGTGTATTAGACATGGTTCCACGTATCCCCCAAGACCAGGTTCTGCGTGCTGCCTCAGTGACTCGCCACTGTGCTTGTAAGGGCTCGTGAATGGCACGCTAAGTGAGGTACCGCTGTTGTTCTCTCCCTGTCTGGGGCAAAGAAGAAGGAAGACAAGCAAAGGCATGTGGTGGAAACGATGGGTCCAATAGCCCAAACAACCAGAAAAGCTGGATGAAGCCCAGCCATGACGTCCACCTGCTCTGAAAGGGATCCCACTGGATAGCATGGGAGAAAAACGTGGACCGAGCTCAAAATCATGAAGAAGACCAGGTTTACAGTCAGATGCAGATTGGTGGGATCACTCTTCAGCTCTAGAAATGAATGAACTCAACCCCCACGGCTCGATGTTTATCCAAACTGTGGGTCCACGAGGGAAACAACAGCCCGAGGGAGGCGCATGTACCTTAGGATGGTCAACCCTTTTGAGAGCTACAGGGTAGCTTTCTTTCGCTGAAGACAAAAAGCAAGGAAAGGAGAAGGCGTGGAAACAGTAGCACAAGGAGGGAGAGGGAGGGGTTGGTGATCTTACATTGTGGGGTTCCAGTCAAGGACCCAAGAAACAAAATGATTGAGTGGAAAACCATTTGCTCTTTAACCCTTCACCCAGTTCACCATAAAAGAAGGAATAAATGACGGGAAGGGTTTGTCTTGGACATGAGGTAACTTCCAATGAGGAAAACACTGTCAGCTCGGGGAGCAGGGAAAACATTACCAAGGATTCAAGAACTCGAGCATGGCTGGGAAGTGGGAGCCCTTGCCGTGGGAGGCAGAGTG